AAAGCAAAGGTTCTCCAAGACAGGATCCTAAGCAAATACATTAGAATCATGTCAGGAGCTTAAAAACACAGAATCGAGTCCTTATCCACAGAGATTCTCATTCAGAAGGCCTTGGATGGGGCTAGCAATGGAGCCAAAATAGGTAAATCTAACAAGTAGCCAGCTTCAAAAGGCATTAGTCTAAAAAAAAAAAAAAATTCACAAACCCCTCGCTGTTGTTAGGTGTACAGCCTAATACGACTCAGCAACATGTAACCTGAAAGAAACTTGAGGGCGTTGGAGAAGATAGAAACCTAAAAAACAATTTTTAAATATTTAGATGAACCTCTTATTTAAAAATGCTTTAATCTCAAACCTATGGGTTAGTAATAAATATTAGTAGAATAGGCAGTTATGAAACGACATAGATTAATTCAAGACATTATTAAGTCATTCTTCCAAAACATATATTTAATTAAAAAAAGAAAAGATGGGGGCAAAAAACTAGATAAGTGAGAGACAGAGAAAAACAGAGGAAGAGAAAGAGAGGTAAAAGGCAAAGAATGTTGCCACATCTTGACCTCAAGCCAGTTAAACACAAGACCGGAAGTTTGCTGTTACGTCTACGGCAGACCTCTCACCTGGATCACTGGATCACTGTCATGTTTTTTGTTTGTCACAGAGCTATGACAACAGTATATGCATGCATTGACATGAAATAGCAAAAGTACTGTCAAGTGTATGATCTGGGGACTACAAGTTACTAAAAGATACAACACATAATTTATATCTTTTTAGTATCTTAAGGACATCTTGTTTACTTTCTCTTAAACTGTAAAATTCCTCTCACCTATACTGACGAAAACTAAGTGAATGAAGACCATGGATCCACAATAAAAATAAGCCACTTCCAAAAAGTACATGAGTGATTGCCTAGGGCTGGGGGGAGTGGGGAAAGGAATGTGAAGTGACTACTAATGGGCACCAGTTTTCTTGTGGAGTGTGGAAAGTGTTCTAAAATTATATTATGGTGTTAACAAAATGCTCAAAGATTTTATTTCTGTGTACTGGAATAACAATTACTCTTTTCTTTTTGGTCATCTGTATTTTGCTCTTTTTTTAGTAATGATCATAAGTTGCTTGCGTAATAAAAAATAAAAAGAAATGATATTCTGGTGATGGTTGCACAACTCAATAGGTATGCTAAAAGCCATGGAATTCTCTGTTAAACGGATGAACTTTATAGTACGTAACTCCATCTCAATAAAGACATTTTAAAAAATAATAAGTCATTCTATCCCATGAAGATAGGAGAAACCACATGTATGAAAGCGGTGGTCCATCCTCATTATTTGAGGATTCCATATTAGCAAATTCACCTATTCACTAAAATTTATTTGTAACCTCAAAATCAATACTTGCAGCACTTCCACGATCACTTAAGATGTGCACATTCCCAGCTGAGGTAAGACACGGCTGGCTTGGTATTCACTAATTCAGTGTTCACAGGGACTTTACAGAACATAACCACTGTGAATAACAGGAATCAACCAGATAACTTGTTGAATAAGCCAGAAACACATGTTAAATGTCTGATGGAACCTAAAGCACCTTAGTTTATTATAATCATTTTTAATATGAGATCATAGGTTTTGTTTTCAAACGTCTGGGAATTACGTACATTTGACAAATCCAAATAAGTAAATATTTTTCAGGAAGACATAATATCTTACTTTGTTCATAACCGTAATTAATTCTTCGCAATAGCATTAGAAATAGGGACCTACTATATAAAAAAGTTGTTTTGAATTTAGAACATTAGTTCAAATTAACTAAATATCAGTGACTATAAAAACATATTCAGAAATTATTTTATAACCTTGTCAGAGTCAGATTCTGCTCCTTCAGTTCATGATCCTTTCTTCGGCAGTATGCGATCTAGCTGGTAAATCTCTCATTTCACATATTCGTTTCTATTGACTTTTTTCTCCAAGTTATGAGTCACATTTGCCTGCTTTTTTCACAAGTATAATAATTATCTGCTGGACACTGTGAATGTTATGTTTTTGAGAATGTGACTTATGCTATCTTCTATACAGTGAGTTTTGCATTGGCAAGCAGTAAACTTATGGATGGATCAGGCTCATACTAAAGAGACTTTGTTCCGAGGGATCCAGAGTAACCCTTCTTCCAGGTCTAGAGAAACCAAACCAAACTCACTGCGCTCAAGTCCATTCTGACTCACAGTGACCGGTCACTGTAGGGCACAGTAAAACTGCTCCATAGGGCTTCCAAGACTGTAATCTTTATGGAACAGACTGTCATATCTTTCTCCTGTGGAGCAGCTGGTGGCTTGGAACCGCCGACCTCTTGGTTAGCAGTCGAGTACTTAATCACTGCACCACCAGGGCTCCTACTCTAGGTCTGGATCACCCCTATTGCTAAAGAATGACCTTCCTGAGGTCAGAGCTGAAAGCACAGGACATTCAGCAAGTTGTCTTCACTGTGGTCTGAACTCCAACATTTGCCAGCATTATGCAACTTCTAGAACTTCCATCAGCTCACAGTCTTCCAGTAGGTCTTGTGGACTGGCCCATGCAGGTTAGTATTTGACAAAAGGCACAATGGGGCTCTGTACATTTCTGGGGCTCCATCTCTGTGCAAAGGAGCCTTGATGGCACGATGGTTAAGCACTGGGCTGCTAACTGAAAGGTTGGCAGTTTGAACCCACCAGCCACTCTGCAGGAGAAAAGACCGGGCAATCTGTTCCCATAAAGATTACAGCCTAGGAAATCCTATGCGGAACTTCTACTCTGTCATATAGAGTCGCTATGAGTCAGAATTGACTCGACGGCACTCAACAACAAACAACATCTCTGTGCAACTGCCTTCTCTCCAGTACCCTAATCCACAAATTCCAGCTGCCTCCACAGCTCCAGGCTCCTATCTCAGCTTCCTCTGCCCACAGAGACCTCTGCAGCTCTTAGTTTGGCATCACTTCCCATTGCCATGGTTTGAAAAGTGCCCTCAAGCAGGACGCTGGGAAGAATGTGGAGCTCACCTCAGGTGTTTCCATCTCTCTAGGATTACAGCCCTGTGTTGTCTGAAAATAGCTGCTTCATATACCCCATCTGGTTTTAACATTCGCTTACAGGAGGATCATCATCACTTATCATCACGCCCAGAAGCTGAAGTCCCTAATTAATTTTTAAATAACTTTAAAATCCATTATCATATTTCATTCTTAAACATATGACGTGTAAAGCACATATCATTTCCATTTGACAGATCAGTAAACCAAGATACAAGGAAGTTAAATAACCAGCCTCTGAGCCACAAAGATAAGTTTATTCAATACACAAATACTCATCAAGTGCCTAATACAGGCACATGGTTATTGGCATAGCAGTAAACAAAACTCAGGGAATATAGTTCCAACAGTGCTTCGAACCAGTTCAAACTGGCTCAGTCATGGCCGACAAAGCAAAATCAGAACAGATCTTAAGTTTTAAAATTTGGGTGATCCAGAACAATAATTGTAATGGGAAAAATTATGGGTCGAAGTCCTGGAATGGGAGACTTGGAAGAGGCGTAGTGAGCCCTTTCAAGAGCCTGATGTGGGAAATTGGATTATGGCCAGGACTGTGGAGAGCGACACACATTCAAAGCAGCACACTCGGCCACCGTCTTTGAGCAGGATACCCCTGTTTCTGACTCTACTCAAAATGCAACAGACAAGAAAACTGGTTACTATGCAATGCATCTGCTACCTGTGTTTTCTAAGAGGGAGATAGTTTCCAGCAGGGCTTCAACCTGTAATTTTTCCAGTTCTGGTTATTGTTCTGCTTCACTCAAATTTTGAAAATTTGGGTCTGTTCCATTTTCGCTTCCTTGACCATGACTTAACTGGGAAAAACCTGTTCGAAGCCCTGGTTCCAACTCACATTTCTCTATTAAGTCATTCAATAAAACACATAGACTGTACCAAAAAATGTCTAATTAATGAATAACCAAGAATCAATCATTCAATTCACAAGGGGCACGCTATACTCTCAGAAATAACTGCAATTTGCATGCATGATTTATTTTTTCCTGCAAAGGCTCCTATTTGCCATGCAAGTAATTTCATTCCTACATAGTTACATTTTTCAATTCCCTACATATACTTACTTTTTTTCATATTAGTAGGGACTAGCTAACCAAGTCACTTCTATTCAGCTTTGTCAAACTTGCTTCAGCTAACTCTTAATTGTATTTCTAATTTTTCAATGGCCAAATCAAATATATTCTCCTGGCACTTAGAAAATCTAATACGATTTCTAAGTACTATCTCAGCAACTTCATACCAAACAGTAATATCATTCCTCCACAGAGTAAATTAATCACCAAACCAAAAACCAAACCCATTGCCTTCGAGTCGATTCCAACTCACAGTGACCCTATAGGACAGAGGAGAACTGCCCCACAGAGTTTCCAAGAAGCACCTGGTGGATTTGAACTGCCGACCTTTTGGTTAGCAGCTACAGCAGTTAAATACTACGCCACCAGGGTTTTCAAGTTAATCACAGTGATCCATTTATACCTTAGAGATCTATTCTTATGTTCTTGACCTGTTATTTAACCCCATATATGCAAAAGTAGACAGTTGGGAAATGGCCAATTAAGCTACATACATGTTTATAAAACAGTGTTCAAGAACACTCTAATATTTACCACCTTAGTACATAACTAACTCCACTGACTTAAAGAACATTACAAGAGACAGACCAAATGCTATAACATCACCGCTAGCTACATACTGAGAATCTGTTCCTATTTATAAGTCTGGCAAAAAAAAAAAGTCTGTTAAAAAGTCTTTTTAAGATCTCTGGTAGAAGTTCACAACATCAGCAGCATCTCCTTTAAATGGAAGCATTAGTTCTCAACCTGTTTATGATCCTTAAGGTAAAAGTTTAGGTATTGTTTTTTATTATTTTTTGTTATTCTGAGTCACCATGACACCCTTTGCAAAAGGGTCTTACCTGCAGGACATCCTGGATCTTCACCCACACGTCTGCCATGTCATACAATTTGATCTCTTCCTGCTGAGTCAGGGAAGTCCCAACAGTCTGCTGCAGATACCCGAGGACCACAGAGTGTGCAGCGGCTACGGCATTGAACTTGTCAAACAGTAACTCCAGCAGTTCTAGAAGTAACCTTGTGATAAAAAAACAATAGTAATAATAATAAAGAAAATTTACACTCACACACATATATGCAGATAGTTTATTCTGGCCTCCAGAAAAAAATTAAAAAACTAAAGCTAAGTAGCATCCTATGATGTCAAACATTAGCATAAATGGTAGATTTGATCTCAAACAGTTGTATGATCTAAGCAACTTTTCTTAGCTTATCTGAGCCTCACTTTCCTTTGCTATAAAATCCAAATAATATAAAAATGTGAAACTCAATTATAAAGAACCCAGACCAGCAACAGCAGCTTAATAAACATTTGTTTCTTTTTTAATATATTTCAGTGATTACAATACTACTACACTGTATTCATTTGGCACTTTCTCCGAGGAATTCAGGCCATTTTTCAGACAACAGTTCAGATGCTACAGAGAACGTGCTAGTCCATGACAATAAATTGGGCAGTATGGCAAGGATACTAAACTTTTATCATGAAAAGCTGTGCCTACTACCACTCAAAGGCCTAAGTTGCCTGAAAAAAATGCACACATGCCAAGCAGTCTGACTTTCACCACAGGGAGCATCCGCATTATCTCATTCATCATAGTCAGACATGCTGGACACATACTATTACATTGATTTTATATACTCAAGGACATAAAATGAGGTTGAAAGGGAGCTGGGCCTAGAACAAATGTTGCTTTCCATGTCAGTGCATTTAGCCCCCTACCTCTCACTACAGTCCTCAAATGTAGATGTATATTTAGAGATAGCTCCCAGCTTTATGCCATGGATGCAAATTAATCCCTCGGCCACTGAGCCTTCCTGCGTCACTGATAACCCAGTTGGAATCATCCCTTTCCGCTGAACTTGCACAGGCTCTCACCTCACCTTTAAGGAACTTATCACATTTATTAATATATGTTCTAAATATTTTACCTTCCTTCTCCATTATTAGTCTTTCAGTGTAGGTACTGCATTAGACACCTTTGTATACTTCAGAGCACTTAGGACAGTGATCAGCAAATACCTGCTGAATGAATTTAACGTGTTTATCATGAACAACTATAGAAAATCTTGGAATGTGAACTTTACTGTCTATTTTGTGGCTCTTGAGTCACAGTTCCCAAAAAAATTTATAAGCCAATGCAGAAAGGAGAAAAGGAAAGCAAGAGAGCTTGTCAGCAGTGTCAGTTAACAAGATTTTACCACCATAAATAAGAGGTTATAAGTACAAGTTCATCAAAATGTATAGCATATTATCTGTTCCTATGGCTTCTTTATTGTCCAATTATTCTAATTAATGTGCCAATGTGACAGCCCATAACTATCTTATGATAAAACCCTCATATCTATTTGACATTGTAACTTAGATGAGACAGAATCTATAGAAACGTAGGTATTGCTTCCAGTCTAGAATGTGCATACATAATCTAAAAATTGCACACTGTATCTGTAAACAGGACCCATTCTGCCCCTTTGAATGACATTTTTAATTTTTTTTATCTTTTAAAGGTTAGTTCATATTTACACTCACATACACCTAAAAGGCTTCTCCTTCCCCACCTGTGTTAGCAGGAACCAACCCAAGTATCAGTAGAGAGAAGAGCAAAGCACGGAAAGATGCATCCAAACATAACAGCTGAAACAGTCAATTCAGTGGGGGCAAATAATCTGTTAAAAATTAGTTATCTGGCATCACACAGAGTGATTAACTGATTAAGTGAAAGTACTACTTTTCAGATTTATGCTGAGTTTATAAGCCTGTGGTTCCCAAATATCAATTCACAGATCATAATGTATTTTTCAGTGGCATAAAGCAAACTAAGAAAAAGAAGGACGATACAGTAACTTTTCACAAAGGTAAATTTATTTAAGTTTATATTCTTTGTACTCTCCTGGCACGAAAATTGCAGTTATTTTCTGCCATGATGGCAGTTAGGTTGCCAAAGGTCCTTACTCGACACAATTAAACCCTCCTAACCTTATGCTATACTCTCAAGTTTGCTGGACTCATATTGCTCCCTGACATTCAGAAGCCTGAGGGCACACTGGTACAGGTCCCCACTGGTATGGGTCCCCACTTCCCAATGGCATGAAGTTCCAGGTACAGTCCCACAAACCAGCAATAAGGCAGAAAACCTGGGGGCACTGAGCTCCATGACTGCGCACCCTGACTCTCATGGCCAAGGCCAGGTTTGTGAAACAAGAGCCGCTCCACACCATGGTAGTGTTCCATTTAGAAAAGGGACCGGTGGGGAACTGAAGTTTAAGATGGGACCCAAGGCATCTACTAGGAAAAAAAACACATCGCTGTGGAATCACTTCCTACTCATGGTGATCCCATGTGTCAGAGTAGAACTGTGCTTCATACGGTTTTCAATGGCTGACTTTTTAGAAACAGTCAGGCCTTTCTTCCAATCGTATCTGCTAACATCATGGACGTAGCAATCCTTTGCTAAAATGCTAACAAAGTACAAGCCTCTGCCAGTCCTGGAGGCTTAAGGCCAAGACAGGTCCATTCCTATAATGTGGCAATCATAGCCAACTGACAAATGGATAAACAAGATGTGGCATATCCATTCAGTGGAATGTTACACAGCCATTAAAAGAAACAAAGTACTGATACATACTATAATAGGGATGAACCTTGAAAATATTAAGCACAATAGACCACATATTGTGTGACTCTATGTATATAAAATAAACAAAATAGGCAAATTTATAGACAGAAAGCACATTAGCGCTTACTTAGGGGCTATGGGAGGGGAGAAGGTGGGAGGTGACTGGTAATGCCTATGGGACTTCTTTTAGGGGGATAAAAATGTTCTGGAATTAGATAGTAGTGATGGTTGTACAACCTTAGGAATATACTACATACCACTGAATTGTAGGCTTCAAATGGGTGAATTGTATGGTAAGTGAATTAAACCCCAATACAGCTGTTAATAAAAGAATCTCAGCAGCTGTGGTTCAGGTGAGGCCACTTCCTCTGCAGTGAAGAGGAAATATATATAGAACAGTGAAAAAGGAACCAGGTGTCTCAAAAATCGAAGTATTGAGAAAGCTGATTCTCTCCACCAGAGGGCATTAACTTTTCTCTTTTGGTTCATGCATTGTCTTGTTTGTTTTTCCTTCATACATAAGTAAGATTTGCATCATTTCCCTACCTTGACATTCTTAAGCCTTTAATTATGGAAATTCTCTCAATTTCTCTGACAGCCCCAATCTATATAACTGAAGTAGGAATTAAGACCTGTTCTAGGACTCTCACAGAGCTACCAGAGGATCAAATAAGAAAACGGACAAAAGTAGTGGAAGTGAGAGCAAATATTACCGAGACAGGAGAGTTCAGGATTCTGACCTGAGCAACCATGAAGACGATGGTTACCTTGCCTGAGAGAGAGAGATGTAAAGTGAAGACAGAAAGTTGGGAGGAGAGATGCTGGGTTTAGATGTAGATGTGTGAAGTTTATGGTGCTATGTCCTTGGATACTTCGATACACAAATCTGGAGCTTAGGAGACGGAATGTTGAAGTATTTGAGAGGATGAGATCACTCAGAGTAAAAAGAGCAGGGTCCACAGACAACACTGCAGGGAACAGCAGCATTTAAAGGCTGGTTAGGAGGTAGCTAGGGGAAAGGCAGAACCCATGAAGAAAACTTTAGAATCCTAAGGAGAAGACAGTATCAACAGTCAAAGGCTCCACGGAGGTCAGGTAAGGTAAAGACACATTTACAAGGAAGAGGTCCCAGTGACCTTGGCAAGACTGGTTTCAGCAGAGCACTGGAGACTGAGCTCAGCAGTGGGATGAGGAGACAATGGTTAATAGGAAAAAAGAAGCTGAAGTCAATCACATGCTTTTCAAAGGCACACCATTCCTCACCAACATATACACTTCTGAAAAAGAAGGCGGCTCTCCCCTGCGTTATCAAAGAATAAAAGTTTAAGAATCACTCACATAAACAGGATATAAATCTGCACTAGTCTAGCCAATTTAAAGCTACCAGAAATAAACTGAAATACGTTGTTAATATTCATATACACACTTCTACTGCGCTAGACTGAGAAAACACGCATTTGCCTTTAGTGGCAGACACACACAAAGATGACCTAAACACACAAACCCCTCTACAATCCTTCTCCACCCCACTCCTACCAAAAAATATTAAGTAAATAAAAGAAGATATAAACATTACAATGCAGTTGGCTCTGCTGCCTAAATCCTGTTAGGCTTAAGGTTTTCACCACTAATCTAAAAGACAAAAGAGCAGGCAGGATCATTAAATTACTAGATGATTCTTTAAACTGAATTGAATTAGAAAAGGCTCTTACAGGAATAGGCCTAAGAACTCAGAGATGAGAAATTTAATTAATTGCAGATTCTACCTCTCAGAAAAAAATAATACACACACATACTCATCTGCACACACACCCCACTGGCTATTTCTGGAGTCACATAATAGGCAATAATATGCAATAAAGCATCAGAGTTAGTGAAAGAAAATATTAACCTGGTATGCAGTGTGGTATAGTATAAAGCTCCAACATTAGAAACCTAGGTTTCAATACCAATGTCACATAAACAATCGAGGGACTTTCAATACATCATGGGACTTCTCCGAATCTCAGGTTCCTCAATTACAAACTTCTTCAATCACAATTTCCTAATCACAAATTGTGAGGATTAAACGCAAAAATGTACTTCAACCCATACTAAAAAAAGCGAACTAAGAGTACACTGTTTTCTATACCTTCAAAACCTACTGTCTAGAGGGAAGAAAAGGAGATGAGAGTATTCCGGATGGGCCTACTTCCCTCCATTGCTGCTCATTCTGGTAACTCAGGCCATAACATCTCTCACTGGATATTAAAACTGCCCCCGCAGTAGTCTCCTGTCTTCCAGTTTCTCTAGACTATAAACTTGTTGAGGGTAAAAACTGTGTCTGACTGATCACTGTACTCCAGTATTTGTCATAATGCTCAACATATAAAATAAATGAGTACCTGCTGAATGAAAGAA